ACCCTCAACCTTTTTGTTTTTGCAACGATTCAAATCGATGTTTTGCAGCCCGCAAGTTCTTACCTTGATTAAATGGATCATTCTTGAATGAATTCAAGCGAACCTTTGTTCATGTATGCTGTCAACCTATTGTTTTGGCAACCCCTGCAACTAAGAAGCAATGCCAGCCCTTATCTTATCCTCTTTCACTAATTGAGAGAATCTCACAGCAAAGATTTGTTTGTTTTGGATAAGGCTTGATGGGCTTTGACTTCCACATACAAAGTCCCGCATCGTTGCTGCCAGGAAGTCATCCGCTGCTGTGCATCTTGCTGCGATCCTGGTGGAGGCTGTTGGGCACTGGGCAGGTTGGCAAAGAACAGCATGTCACATCAAACCCTCAGTTCATTGTCATTTAAACAAACAATTATTATATCAGCTCCTTCTGGTTGCATGTGTGGTGTCTTTGCTTCGAGCATGTAGGTTTGGAAAAGCCTTCTGGAGAAGCTCGCCACCCACCATCTCATCCGTTGCTGCATCTGTGCAATACTGTTCAACATGGTCTTCAATCCCTTTGATCAAACCAGGAAAGGACAGTGGCTTGATTTCCTCAGGTTGGTCATGCTGAGTGAATGAACTCCTAATGGTGATTAAACAAAGAACTGAATGTGGAGCTGGACCAGTAGGGGAGCAAAGGTTTTTGATGATCTGCCGGGTAGATTTGTAGATACCCACCGCTGTCAGGTCTTGTGCTTTGGACATGTCATAGGCCCCAAGAAAACCAGCGGCGCTCTCCAAGTCATGGTTTATGCATGAAAAGCGGCAAGCCAAGATGAACTTTCGGGCATCCTGTCCAACACAACCCTTGTGCCTAACTTGTGCCTAACTTGTCTCAAGAACATCAAAAGAAAATCCCACCTGCCCAAGAGAAATCACCGTCGCCCTGGACAGTCGCTTCAGTGTAAGCAACCTGCAACCTTGCCCCAAGCAATATTGCAGGCACCTTTGCCGAGCTCTTCCACCAACCTGGAAGGCACAGTGATGGGTCGTGATGGGTTGTCAGAAGACGCTTCAATGAAAACCAGTTTCCAAATAATAACTAAATAGGTACCTTGTCGGATTTCCTCTTCTCCTTGATTACGTGGATCATCTCTTTGAGCATTTGGGCGTGAGGTACTATTTTTCCCTCAACAATGGCAAAGTCTGAATCCAAATCATGGCCTGGGCAAGAGACCCATCTAAGATAGAGGTGATGCATCAGGGGTGAGTGCAACTGTATCCTCAACATCAGCCAGGGGACCTTCTTTGGAAGCTGCCTTAAATGGGCCAACTCTATTTTGAAGGTTCATTGTCTAATTTCATGATTTGTTCATTTGACAATGGCAGAATATGACATTGACTTGACACCTGAAACCAAGAGTCTGCAAGCCGGTGCAATGACGTTGCTGCATGCTGCTTCAGATGCCCACGATGGACTTTTTTGGCACCCCTTCCACCTCAGGTTGTCGAAGTAACCAGTTGAAAATTGTCATCAAACACTATCATAGACACTTTGCATTGGATGCCTAGGAACCTTCTCCTCTTCCAAAGGTAGAGCAAACCCCGGCCAGCTTGCACACCCTACAAACCAAGCCATGCTCCCCAATGGTAGCCCACGGAAAGTCCTGCTGCCATGTCTGCCAGCGTGAGGCGATTTGTCTTAGCTGCTGGACAGTCTTGGATCGCAGCGCAGGCTTGACCATGGTGCTGATGGAAAGAGAGTTCAATCAACATCTAAGACCTTGCGCTTTTGTCAGTTGTTCATTTTCATGTTTGAGTGGACCCACTGCTTTGAACCATCTTGGGAAATACATGGAAATACTAAGCTTGAAAGCAATATGGTTTCTTGGTGAAGAAGGTTGCCAATGAAGACCAAATGGCCTGCGGTGAGAACTGCACTCCACAACTGGCCTTCAAGTCAAGCCAATCAATCTGAAATCTTTTAAATTTACTCGTGACTACACACACACTGAATCAGCTCAATCAGAATGCCTTCCCTGGGTCCTGTCAAATCCGCCCTCCCCCAAATGGCCTCAGGCAGTGCTGGCCGCTGCTGGTGGGCAGGCCTGCCAGGAAGCATAGATGGGTGTGAAGGGCTTGATTCAATGGGGTGGCGTGACTGAGAGGGCTCAAGGTTCGAGAGTGGGGATCACTGACTGTTGAGAAGTAACACCCTAAATCCTCAGAGCAGCTCGCACAGTTTTCCAGAGCTGAGCTCATCAATGCTCAATGCATATGAGCAGATGATTTTGTCGTCCACTGACCACCATTTTATATTTTTGTATGCGTTGAAATCTTGATTTTTTCTGGTCATCGTAGTTTCATTCAGCGGTCCATCAGTCAATGGTGGTCATGGTTCATATCCCGCCCTCACATTCCAAAGCGTGAGCTCGTTCTTCGATCCTTAAGCCATCAAATTCAAAGTGTCCAGAATCACAAGTCTAAGAATTGAACAACCTAAGAAAGAATCAAAGTGTCCACAATCAAAGCCAGGAGTCACTCTAAGTCTTTGAACATTCCTGGCACGCCATGTTGGAAAGGATTCTCCGGCCAAGTCGGTGCTGAACATGTCATGAAATGTGAAGGCCAAAGCTTCACACCAAGCTGGTTTTGCACCAAGGATTTCAACCGTCCCATAGACTCCTCTGATGCTTCCGCTGGAGCTGAAGATGCAGATGACCTCCGCCATGGATACTCCTGGAGTCCGAAGTCAATGGTCCGATGTCAAGAAAAACAGAATTGCAAAATTGGCAAAGCTGATGAAAGCTAGCAGGGGTGGATATCTATCGAGTTCCTCCAAGTCCTGGCTGTCAGGATCATGTCATCTGAAGCCATCAAGTCATGTGTCCATGATCTAAACACTGGTCCTCCGATCTGGCCCTCTTTGATGGCTGCTTCTGCTCCTGCTCCTCATCCTGTGCGCAGTGAGCCAAGTACGTGTATGTATTTTTGACCAGATGGCCTGAATGATCTTTCCAGGTCATGGCTGTGACTGTTTCAATCTGTCATGACAAAGTTGATGATCCCAAGGAGTCCTTTCCAGGTCGAAAAGAAGCATCAGGCGTCTTTGGCTGCTGCCCATCATCAGCCCCCACCGCCCCCTTTGGCTTGGGATCATCAGCCCCCACCGCCTCCATCATGTCCTTATTTAAAAACAGTCGCAAACAATGACAAGTTGTCATGACCACAGTTTAAAGATGACATATCTGATCCAAGGCTCAAGGATGCGCACTGCCAGCGCCGCACTGTGGATTGCACCATCCAGCTGGATGATCATCCTCAGCGGCGTGTTCCCCACATGGTTGGCCGGCGCCACGATCCGCTCCACTTCACCAATAGCCAGCTGCGCCAACTGCTTGGCATTGTGGGGATCGATCTCCCATTCCACATGTGCCTGACATCAATTGCAATGATCATGGCAATGACATTCCAATGACTACATAAGACTGATGGGGTGAAGCCCTTCCAAAGCTGCTCAAATCAAATGAAGTCATTGAAAAAGCCAAGTTACTTTTGCGCGTTCCACCTGTCCAGACCGAAGGCGCGACGCCACCTCCGACAGCCGCTCGGGACCATCATCCAAAAGGACTTCATCCATCAAGGCCTCACCTTAGATATTTGGTTTCTAACTCCAAGAGACAGAAGGGAGACATCAAAGACTTTGCACTCAATGAGACTGAGACAGCCAAGGCACTGGGATTGGAACTTGTCTCATGCTCGGAGGACTGGATGTGCTTCACCTTCCGCTCAGTGAGCGTGACCGCGTCCGGATATGGCGGGACATTGAGGAACTTGATCTCTGACTGCGGCCGCATCATGAACTTCCTCAGAAACACTGAGGAACTACAAGTCAATCGATCAATGATGGCATGACTGACCTTGCATGGCATGATGTAAATTTCCATCTTTAATCACTGAACCATTGGTTTCCTCCAAGCGGCACCGTCTCGAAAACCTGATGGATATGCCCCGGGATCTTCACATTGTAGGTGTCACCGGCCCTTGTCATCACCAGCCTCAGATGATCTGTGAACAAAGGGACAATGCCAACGATGTTCACCAGAAGCGATGACTGAAGACTTTGATAAAATCATGGATTCAAGTCAAGCAACTGCTCTTCTCTCTTCACCTTCACCCTCACCCGCTGCTCTGTCGCAGATTCAGCAGCATCCACCGGATCCGCCATGATCGAATGACAGGATGAAGGATAAATTGAATGATCATGATCCAAATGATCAAAACTCAGTGTAAAATTGAATACCTGGCATGACATGATGTCATCCTTGGCATGAGACCATGTCTAGTGTCCATGAGACCATGAGCCTAGGGCCTATTCACCATCAGAAATTGAAACATGATAGAACATGTCTCTTGATGTGCATCGTCATCTTAGTAGCCCTCATGGCTGTGGCAAATCACCAAACTCACAGAACATCATCACTGACAGTGGACCGCTGAATTTTAGTTACTGTAGTCAAAATTAAACCATAAAATTGAAGAAACACATCCTTCAACCCTTGGCCACCCCCCCCACCGCACCTCCTCCACCAGGTGAAGAGCAGTGGCCGCTGCCGCCAGCAGCCGCGAGCGCGACCCGCGCGGCCACCCCCCGTCCCTCCTAACTAAACCAATATTTTTTTCATTGGCACTATTCCACTATGATAACTGCACCAAAGTTTAGGTGTCCTAGATTTAACAAAAACGTTGCATAAATTACCAGACAAATGGCACAACATGTTGCAGACTTGGAAGATCTACCTGAACCTGTCGAAGGGTGTCCTGTTTGGAGATCCCCAAGTAGTATAGGGGCTTCCATTGGTGACCCTGAACTGAAGCTGCTGGTAGGGCAATTGTTTAGATCTACAAGCCTGGCTCAACCCTTGCCTCGCCCTGGCTGCACCCAGCGTGCCAGTGTAATATCACCCTGAAACGAAGGAACACTTTTGCCGCACGCGAAAGTATGACTTCGCACGAAGCATGAGGCCTTGCTGAGCCTGCTGTGTGGGAAGCTGAAGCGCTTAGAGGTTCGGTGGCTTTCGGCGCCAACCCGCGCGGTGCGCGGTGCGCGAAGGTGTGAAATGCCCAGTTCCGCACTGCGCGAGGCCGTTGAACCAAGGACCGTCGGACATGGACGAATGGATTGAATGGACCGATGGAGATGTGCATGAATGGGTGGATCATGATGCGTCCGAAACCCATTTCTATACGTAATACACGATCTTTCACGAGCATCTCAGATCATCATGATCTCATGATCTCATCAACCGGCACCAGCTTCTTCGTGACCGTTCGTGACCTTTTTGGAGTTACTAAGTGACCCTTAGACTTAAGCGACCGAACCAACCAGGGTATACCAAGTAATTACGGTCACTGAAGCATACCTGGTGGCCAAGTAAGCCACCGACCCGAAGAAATCCGAAGGTGGTAGATGAGGGGAAGATCGGTGGAGGGAACTGTCACAGTCCTGGCGAAGTCACAGTCCTGTGAGTGGTGTTTCCAGTTTGAGCCACGTAGAAGAGAGTCGGATCGAAAACGCAAGCCATGAGCTCGTAGTGGGCTCCAAGCATTTTGTTTTCGGACCCCCTAAGAGTCTATAGAGGTGGGTGTTTGACAGATGCCAGATACACACAAGTTTTGTCTGTTGCGATGCAGAGTGGATAACATGGATTTGGTGTTGCGAGACAGGTGGGCTTTGTCATGAAGTCTTACATCTGGAGACTATCGGACCCTCCGAACTGGAGGGTGACCTGACCCTGCGGGTTTCGCAGGTGGCCCTTGGACCCGAACCAAACCTTCACCTTCGGTGCCGGTCGGGTCCTTGATTCTCCGAACCTCGGGGTGTCCTGGCGAACGACTACCCCACACGAATCCGGCCTAATTAGGCTTCCAGACAGGGCACCCCGAAAACGGAGGGTCCTGGTATACTGTAGTGCCACTTGTGAAGAAAGCGCAACGGCGTCGTGTCGATCGCCGTGAAGCGGATCCACGGCGCGCCAGTGATCGGACGCCATTTGAGCAAAGCAAGGCCGACTGAACATGGCCCAAGTGCTAAGCAGTTCCCATTGAGCAAGCTCCAGCCCTACAGGAAGTATACTCATGACATGCACATGCCATGCTACGTACTCAACTCATACGTAACTCTTCGGCCAGGTCCTCGCCGGAGCCATGGCGATGCAGCGAATTTCCGTGCGGCAGCCGAGTGGTGAAGTGATGGTTCTTGAAGTCATGCCGGAGACGACAGGCAAGGAGCTCAAGCAGCAGATCAAGGAAAAACAGCATTGGGATGACGAGCTCACTCGCAGCACTACAGGTGTGGAGATCATTGTCGGAGACGACCAATTGCTGGCCAATGATGCAAAGGTATTGGATGCTGGAGTTTCTGAAGATACTGTTGTGAGTGTTGTCTTCAAACCAAACAGAGTGATTTGCTCCAACAAAAAAGCGATCGCCACTCTCGGTGGCATCGTTGACTCCGAACTGCTGCTTGTGGTCGAAATACCAGATGATGAAACCCAGATTTGTGAAAGTGCATTTATGGGATGCGGCACATTGGCCAAAGTCACCATGCCGGACTCGGTGACCCACATTGGGAAGAATGCCTTTAGGGATTGCAGCTGTTTGGCAAGCCTGACCATCCCAGGCACAGTGACCCACATTGGGGTTGATGCTTTTGTTGGTTGTAGATCTTTGTCAGACTTGACCATCCCGAACTCAGTCACCCACATCGGCGAAGGGGCCTTTCAGGATTGCAGTTCCTTGACGAAGTTGACCATCCCAAACTCTGTGACTGACATCGGGAATTTTGCCTTTTCCGGTTGCAGATCTTTGTCAAATTTGACCATTCCAGATTCTGTGACCCGCATCGCGGATGGTACCTTTCAGAATTGCAGCTCCTTGGTGAACGTGACCATACCAAACTCTGTGACTTGCATCGGGGATTTTGCCTTTTCCTTTTGCAGATCTTTGTCAAATTTGACCATTCCAGATTCTTCTGTGACCCGCATCGCGCCAAGTGCTTTTTGGTGCTGCCCTTGCCTAAATTCCTCTTGAGAGTGTTTGCTGTCTCCGGCACCAGGTTCCATTTGTACAAACTACAGGGGTGCAAACGAATCGTAGCGAAAGAATGTCACTGTCAGAGTCATGCGACTACAGCTGGGTTTAAAGAATGTCACTGACAGAGTCATGCGACTAGAGCTGGGTTTAAAGAATGTCACTGTCAGAGTGACTACAGCTGGGTTTAAAGAATGTCACTGTCAGAGTCATGCGACTACAGCTCGGTTTAAAGAATGTCACTGTCAGAGTGACTACAGCTGGGTTTAAAGAATGTCACTGTCAGAGTCATGCGACTACAGCTCGGTTTAAAGAATGTCACTGTCAGAGTGACTACAGCTGGGTTTAAAGAATGTCACTGTCAGAGTCATGCGACTACAGCTGGGTTTAAAGAATGTCACTGTCAGAGTCATGCGACTACAGCTGGGTTTAAAGAATGACACTGTCAGAGTCATGCGACTACAGCTGGGTTTAAAGAATGTCACTGACAGAGTCATGCGACTAGAGCTAAGTTTAAAGAATGTCACTGTCAGAGTCATGCGACTACAGCTGGGTTTAAAGAATGTCACTGTCAGAGTCATGCGACTACAGCTAGGTTTCTGAACCGTTGGGCTTGTGCTCAAAAACAGTGGGTTTCGACCGCGTGCCCGTGCGTCGCCGTCTTTGGCGCTGCACTGCCGCGTCACTGTCTGGGGGGGGGCCTTCGTCACCGCAGGGACCCGGTCGTCTGAGGAAGAACTGGACTGGGACAGTCTGGTCCAAATCTTGAGTCCAAACCTTAAGTCCAAACATGTTTAGTTTTCTGTGTTTAACCATGTTTAACCTATAAGTCAAGCCTTATAGTTTTCAGCAACTGTCATGCCCAGACGCGACCCTGGTCCCTCATATGGAGGGGTCGGACCCGAATCCTCTGGAGGGGTCTGGGGTCGAACCAATCCCTAGCTTTTGAGGGACCGGTCGGGCTGTGAACGGAGCGTCTGGGTGAGATCCAATTCCTGACCTCGACACGGGTGAATTTCCTGAAATGGATGCCTCACCTTTTCGGATGGAGTCTCGACCCGTCTAACACGTCGATCCGGATGGAGTATGAGTCGATCCGGTTAGAGATGTACTGTCCAGATGAGAGGTCGATCTGCGCGACCGCAAACACAGTTGGTGAACTGTTGGTTCTGTGTTCCGTTCCGACCGCATGGCCTCCGAGTCCAACCCGGACGTTGCATGACCGCATGCTCGCTCGGGCTCGGGCTCCGAACAGGCTCGTTCGTTCCCTTGGGGCTGGCCGACCGATCGGGTGCTGGTAGATCGTCGACGGGTGGGTTGGTTTGGGAGACGTGGGATCCAACGCGAGATTTTGGGGTAAGTGGAGTGCAGTGTTTTCGCCGCTTTTTGGCTGGATTGGTCGGTGGCGTACGATATAGCTCGGCCTTTTCGACAGAGCTTTTAGAGGGGGATTGGTCCACCAGTATTTTTGTTATGGCAGTCCAAGTAAGTCAGATTTCCTATGCAAAAGATAGTATTGGACTAATGAAAATCGACTTATATAATCAGCCACTTTCAGGGATGAACTTTTATTATAGAACTCTTCGGGCAGTCTATCGTTTTGGATTTCTGATCGGATAAGACGGACATGAAATGAAAACAAGTTTAAACGGAAAGAGTCCCTATCCGTCAAAGTTTAAAGCCATGGCGAAGAGAATTTCAGCTGTGCAGCCAAATGGCGAAATCCTAGTTCTTGAAGTCACGCCGGAGACAACAGGCCGCTTGCTCAAGCAGCAGATCAAAGATGGACAGCACTGGGACGAGCTCACTCGCTGCACTACAAGTGTGGAGATCATTGTCGGAGAGAACCACTTTTTGGCCAATGATGCAAAGGTGTTGGACGCGGGAATTGCTGAAGATACTGTTTTCACTGTCGTGTTCAAACCAAACAAAGTCATTTGCTCCAACAAAGATACGATCACCAGTCTTGGCGGCATGGTTGACCTGCAATTGCTGCTTGTGGTCGAGATTCCACATGATGAAACCCAGATTTGTGAAAGTGCATTTAACAGATGCGGCACATTGGCCCACTTGATCATCCCAGACTCGGTGACCCGCATTGAAGATGGCGCCTTTCGTTGTAGCAGCTCCTTGGTGAACTTGACCATCCCAGACTCCGTGACCCACATCGGGGATGCTGCATTTGCGGATTGCAGTGCCTTGGTGAACTTGACCATCCCAGAATCAGTGACCCGCATTGAAGATGATGCCTTTATGGGTTGCGCTTCTTTGGTGAACTTGACTATCCTAAGCTCAGTCGAACACATTGGAGGATATGCCTTTGCTGATTGCATCTCCTTGGTGAACTTGACCATCCCAGACTCAGTGACCCGCATTGAAGATGGTGCCTTCGCGGATTGCAGCTCTTTAGTGAACTTGATTCTCCCAGACTCTGTGATCTACATTGGAACATCTGCCTTTGCGGGTTGCAGTGCTTTGGCAACATTATCCATCCCGGACTCAGTGACACACATCGGAGATGGTGCCTTTGATGGCTGCCGTTCGTTGCTGTTGAGAGTATCCATCTCTGAGAGCAAGTTCGAGATGCACAAGCTACAGGGGTGCAAAAGAATCATGGCAAAAGAGTGCCGCTGTCAGGAGTCATGCGACTACAGCTGGTTTCTGAAGGGCTGGGTTTGTCCCCAACAATGGCGCCAGGCCTGCTAGACCCGCTAGGCGTCGTCGTCTGGGAAAAGGTGTGAGCAAACAGTCGCTACACGGTCGGGGCATTTGTATTGGGCGCAGGGTTGGTGCATGGGTATAGGGTGGCCGTGGCCTAGGCCTCCAGTCATACCGAACCTGAGGAGGTACGACTCGTGCTGGCTGGTTCCACAAGATGTGTTGGAACCTGCCGGTTTTGGGACCTCACGGTGTGGGGACCTGGGTCATCCTGTTGGTTCTGGGACTCTCCAATAGACCATATTAGACTCTCACTGCAAGGATCCTAGGATTTCATAGACAGGAGGATGAACAGCTGGAGGACCTCCGAGACACCCACCTGCATGCAGTGAGTCATGAGGTTGAACAGCCTGATAACCAGAGCCCATCCCAGATGTACCACTAGCACACAGACCAGGGTCCGAACGTGAAGCGGTCTCTGAACCTCTCTTGGGCATGAGTCATTTTTACCCTATAGAATCATTGGACCCTCCGAACTGGAGGGTGACCTGACCCTGCAGGTTCCGCAGGGGGGGGGGGGCCCTTGGACCCGAAATCAAACCTTCACCCTTGCGGGTCGGGTCCAACAAAAAGTGACCGATCGACCCGTCCTGGCTGGACTAATTACCCCGGGCCACGAATCCGGCCTACTATAGGCTTCCAGACAGGGCACCCCGAAAAAAAAAGGAGGGAACCAAAAGCACCGGTTCTCTCCACCGACTCGACCCGGGCTCGGTCTGAACTCCAACGGGGCGAGTTCGGTGAGCGCAATCCGTCGATGGGGCCACAAAGGGGGTACGTGATCGAGAGTCCTATCCCAAACACGACTAACTTAATGGGACTGCCAAAAATGAATCATTCAGAAGTTCAATCATGAATCAGACCAATTCGATGTTTCGTTGAGTTTGACTTCTTTTTCCCAAACACGACACATGGGACTGCCATAGTTCTGCCGCCCCAGAAAGACCCCCCCTGGCACCACCCCCTGGCCTTTTCTCGACAGTCCTATGGCAGTCCCATGTGTCGTGTTTGGGTATAGCTTGTCAGCCTGACGTAGGTTGCCCTAGGCTTCCAACAACCATTAATTTATTAGGCTTTATGGAATCAACTGAGGATTTTACACTACAAAAACCAGGTCAACCATTTTTTAAATGGTCTTGGAAGTCTAGGGGTTGCGTTATTGTGATTTGCTCACCGGCTGTGTTCGATCCCTAGCTATACCAACAGAGGTGGGTCAGAACCCGAACTAGGCTATCCCAGTTCGGTACCCCAGGTGACGGGTCCTAGTGACCTGGTCACTCTCCGCCTCTGTTGGAAAACCCTAGGGATTGGTGAGAAAGCTCAGACGTCACCAGTTCGGAGACCTTGGGTCCATATGGGATGGGCTATAAGGCTGTTCAACCTCTCTTGCTATAGCCGGCTCGGCATCATCTTCGGTGCCCGTCTTTGGAGTTCTCGATCGGGTGGAACCCGTTTGCTGTCCTCGCGCTGTTGGACCCCGTCGACGACCGCGATCTCTTCCATCCCAGACACGACCTGTTTGGGACTGCCATATATATGCCGAGAAAAGGCCAGGGTTGGTGCCAGGGGGGCTTCCAACAGAGGTATCCAGTGACCAGGTCACTAGGACCCGGCACTAAGCGGTACCTAGTAGGGTTCTGACCCACCATTGCTGGTTCTTCAACCATTGCTGGTTTATGACTCACATCCCATGCGACTGATCGCGACGACCGGGTGTAGACGGCCGTCGAGCGCGTCTCCGCCAGGCCAGGCCGTTGAGCGCCAGCGAGCTGCTGGAGATGACGGGCCAGGTGCGAGAGGCGCGGTGCTTGTGGGCGTTTCGGCGGCAGCTGCGGGAGGACGAGCGGCGAGGACGAAGGGCAGTGAGCAGTGAGCTGTTGGTCATTTCCAGGGTGATCCAGTCTGGGCGTCCAATAGACACAGGTCTCCAGACAGGGCACCCGTTGGAAGTGCTAGGTTTGTGATATAAGGGTTCGATGAGGTTTGTGTTGAGTCATCAAACGTTTCTGTTGCTGACAGGGATGGGTTTTTGAAGGGGGAACAGTATTTAGGATGGTGGTTTGACGGTGATTGTTCACCCTGAACTGCTGTTTGATAAACCTTGTTTGATAGACTGTGTGGAAAAAGGTTCGATCATAAAGGGACTAGTATTAGTGGTACTAGTAATTGCATGTAAGTGCCAATTCTATAGATGCACAGGAACAAACAAAGATATACGCTATTGTGGAAGATACAATTCCTCACAGCAGATACAGATACACATGATTGATATGGATGGCCCGTGGCTGTGAGTCATTGTGAGTCCGTCAGTTTCCTGCGGCACCGGGTCAAACAAAATAGCAACAAAAAGGGTTATTTGTTTTTAGTAATTTGTCTGCCAAGAAGAAACCTCTTAAAAGATGATTGTCAGTGAAGAATGACTGTCTTTGGGACTTGCTTCCCCGATGTCTTTGGCCCATGGACTTCCAAAGAGTGACCATCACAAACAAAAACTGTCATAGAGTCATCCCAGAAAAAAACGATTGCCAGTTGCCAGTCATGTGCCCGGTGGAAAAAACAAAAACATGCTCTAGCCCAGAGGCGACCCTGGACCCGAACCAACTGCTACGGTTCGGTCCCAAGAGAAGATAGAATCGGGACCCTCCTGTCTGTCGGGGTGCCCTGTCTGGAAGCCGAATTAGGCCGGATTCGTGTGGGGTAGTCGTTCGCCAGGACACCCCGAAAACGGAGGGTCCAGGTAGAATCGGTTGGTGGACCTGATTTGTTGCAGCTTTTGCATGACCCGTCCGCGGCTGTTCCATGGACGTATCTCGCTCTGTCATGCGCAGCTGTCCGAATCGAGATTTGATCCTTGACTCATGTTCCGGCGATTTGGATGCCATGCTAAGTGGTGTTTGCACAATCACTTCGGTCTTTTTGAGGCCCAAACCCAAAGTCAGGGCAGATGGTTGTTGCAGATCCCCATAGAAGTCCCAACGACGATTTTTGGCACCACCCAAGTGTTCAGGAAATTCCTGAACTCAGATCTCGCCAAGTCAGATCGTTTTAGAAATGATCGACTGGAGCAACGGCTTTTCCCTTTCGAAATCCAGACAGCGTGACTTGAGTTGTACACAGCACAATTTTTTTCCAGATGCAACTTCCACGCAGCATCAAGATAGGATGCCTCCTCCAATATCCTCCAAACACCCTTCCCTCAGCACTTTACAGATACAAAAACAATCAACAGCCAACAACAGCAGTCCTTCCATCCCCACTGTCTACCGCCACGTGCTTCGTTGGTCCTCCCCGGTCGCGTCTTCCGATGGAGAAGACAGCTGTGACCTGTGTTGCTTGGCTGCCGCGCGGCGTGTGCAGTGGCCGTCTAACAGCCCTGGAGGCGGGGAAGACGGAGGACGTCTCGGAGGAGTATAGGGACCCAGACACGACTAATGGGACTGGAATATATCCTACATTCCATAACCCCGGGAGTCAGAGACTATAAAAAGAATGGTCTTTGGGTGACCCGAGTCCAGGAATTTCCTTTACATCAGTCGGTCAAAACAAAGTCTTTGGACTTCTAGGGTCTGTCCTGCATTCCCTAAATCACCCTTTGCAGCCACCCACCCCAATGCATATATAGGTAAATATTCCGGTCCCATGGAGTGTTTTGGGGGGAGATATGGGAAGTATGAAGAACATTGAATCACCTGCGACGAACCAACGCCGTGTTGACTCATTGAAGATCTACCCTATAGACGTCCAGTTCGACTATTTTAGGCACCACCCAATAGTGTTCAGGAAGTTCCTGCACTCACTCGGATCACCGAACTCGTCAGACCGTTTGGAACATGGTATACCGTCATGCGACAGATAACCGGGGTATGCTGGACTCGAAGGGTCGGGTATGAAAAAGGAACAAGACCGGCACCATGTCTGATGTCGGTACAAGGTATAGGGGATAACGAGTCATTGTCATGAGGAGGGAGCCTTTTGCTTCTTGCCATCCTCTTGTGGTTTAGGCCTCTTGCATGGTACCATGGAACAGGTCGGTTGTTGGTTTTTGTTGGGTCTTGATTATGGGTACCCGAAGTCTTGGATTGTTGGATGTCTTAGATGGTGGAATGGTTATAGTTTGGGGGTGTCCTGCAACATCCTGTAAAGGTAAGTAAAGAATAATAGTTATACCAGGACCTTCCAACAGGTGGTTTTTGGGCACCCCTTGACCTCTAAGAGGCTGTTTATAGACACCTCTTGGAAGGTCCTGGTAGTTATCAGTTATCACATACTATCACAATACAGTCCCGGGACGCCTGGCTGCTATGTATTTAGGAAAGTGGAGAACTCTGAATGACCTGTTGAGCGGAATGGACGGTATCTTCGCATGTGTGGAGGTGTAGACCCGAATGTTGCTGGAAGATGTCCAAGAGGGCTGATTTTGCGGCCCAGAAATATCCAGAAACATCACTCAGTAGGGGTTTCTAATGATAGCTCCTTAGGTGATCCGGGTTTCCATGAACCACCCCGACTGTGGGTCCTGGTATGGTTTCCATTGTGGCACTCTTCTCGATTTCAGTTGTCCGTGTCCGTTTTTGTTGCAGGACAGTCGGACAGTGGCCTCCCAATTTTTGGAATATAAAACATGTAAATACAGAGTTCCCCTTGCTCTAAATCATGGATTGTGAATGCCTTTTTCTGTTCTGCCGGACATGACCAGTCTTCCATGACAATCCATCACTGCAAAAATGGCCTTTGGAACTGACATCACACCCACCTTGCTAAACCCCCTTGTCCGAATGGAAGACCATTTCTATCCCGTGTCTCCCTAAGGGGTGTCTATTGATAGCCCCTCAGAGGTTAAGGGGTGTCCATTAACCACCCCTTGTGGGTCCTAGTATCCCGTGTCTCGTGTTGTCAACCTGCTACTTGTCTGGCGCTCTATCGCCGTTCTCAGTGCCGCACCTCGGCGTTTTCGCACGCTCCGCGAGGAGGAGGAGGACGAGCAGATGCGCGAGGGCGCGGCCGCCGTGGCGGCACAAGTGGCCAAGGGCTCCGTCCCGGGGCTGGAGGCCCTGAACACGTCGTGCGGCGGTGCGTGGCGCGCGTCACACCGTGCAGTGTGCGGGGAAAGCAACTCGGGATTGAGATCGTGGCGATGGTTTGGCCTGTTGAGGAAACGGGGAGGGAACCAGAGGAGCTGCCAGCCTTGTGTGGATTTCGTGAGCAGCCTTCAGGAGTGAGCTATACGTGGATCACCTGCAAGACCTTGGGGAGGGAACCAGAGGCACACACTAAACAAGAACAGATTGTAAGTTCGGTTCATGAAACAAGAAATTGCGGAAGTCAGTTTTGGATGTTGGTGTAGAGGGTTCTTCACTGCCATTGATAGGGCGTTTGCGGAGTGTGGTGGGATTTGGGCCTTATAGCGCAACTAATGATGGACCATGGATCTTTTTGGAGACTTTGGGGAGTGCAGCTGGCGCTTGGAATGCTCCAAAAACACATCCACCCCAGACGCGACCCGCTGGACCCTCAGACGGAGCCGAATCCTTTGGACGGGTCAGGGGGTTCTCACCAATCTCTATGGAGCGTCAGGGGCCAGTTTCAGGGCTGTGAATGGACTGTCTGCCAGCACCTGGCTGGACCTCGGGGTCACCGTACGGCTGGTTTCGCCCCAGCCCACCACTGGATCTCCAGCCAGGACACCCCATGAAGGTCCAGGTGGGTATATGATCCGCCTCTGACGGACTTGAGCACCCCACGCACGAAATCCGGTCAGCGACTCCGGGATCGGTCAAAGCTTGGAGTTTCCTGGGTCTAAACTTGTGGGGCTTTTCTCACACTTGAGCCAGTCCGTTCAGTTTGGTTTTGGCTGTTGGTGTTTGGTGTTGCAAGCCGCCTCCCACTGGACGGGGGAGGTGCAACACCTGCCCTTGGAGAGAATTGGAGGTCCCGCCGGTCTCGCCGCTCGCCGGTATGCCACCCCCGGTGGACGCTGCGGTGAACGAGTCAAATGGTATCCGTCTCCCCTTTCGTTTATAGGTGGAGGCGGACCTCGGACTCTGGTCGTCCCTTCGGTTCATGTTTCGGGTGGTCAACCCAGGTAGCCTGGCCATACCCAGACACTCCATGGGACTGCCATAGTTCTGCCGCCCCATTGACCCCTGTTCAACCACCCTTCCTGGCCGTGAAACTCGGCAGTCCGGACTGGCAGTCCTATGAGTCGTGTCTGGCCATATGATACCCTGGAACAAAACAAGAAAACGCCTGCCGAGCTGCCCGAGACCAGGAGTTTGACATGGAGAACTACGATGAGGATGAGGACGAAGGTGGGCGCCACCTCGATCGATCGATCTGCATGGCACTCAGACTAGAAGTGCTAGCTCCTAGTAGGTACCTACATTGGGGTGGGTGGCTTCCAACAAGGGTGGGTCTTTCTGGGGCGGCACAAAAAAAAACCAACAAAACACTCCCGGACAGCCTGGTGTCTCGCTTCCCCCTCCGTCGAGACACCTCCGCACGAGTCCATGTCCCAACAACAACGCCGAGTCCGCCGCGCCGAGTCGGAGTCGGGTCGGGTTCAGCGTCGGGTTCAGCGTCGTGCCCGGTGGATTCGCTGTGATCCAAAGTCAGACCCTGGTTTCGTCCAGTCGACGATAAAAAGAATGGTCTGACAAACGGGACCTGAGTCCGGGAAGTTCCTGAAACCTTCAGCCGGTCAACATATCGTCGGTTCCTGGACTTCAGCCGGGAAGAGGACCTCACCACCATTGCACCGGAGAGTCCGATGGTCACAGATCGCCACAGGTCACCACAGGTCACAGGGTCTCCGAAGCACATTGACGAGGCCCTGCAAAACCCCGGCAGGCATCGAGCTCGCTCGCTCGCTCGCGCCGCTCGCTCGCGCATCGAGCTCGCTCTCCAAACCGACTGGTGACCGGACCCGACGGATTTTCCTGACACAGATCTGTGTTGCCAGCAGAGGTGGGGAGCGAACCCGAACGAACTGGACTATCCTAGCTAGTTCGGCTGCCCCAGGTGACTCACGGGTCCGACTCGTGACCTGGTCACTATATCTACCTCTGTTGGTGTAGCCCTGTATACATCCAGGAATAAGTCTACCGGACCGTTCGGTAACCCGACCCTGGCGACCTACCACCTGGCGTCTCCAGTGTCGTTCTCAGTGCTCACCGTTGTCCCGGTTCGGTATGAGAACGGATCCCTCCTAGGGCCCGACAGGGGTGCGGGATGGGACGTACCCCCGCACACCGAGCGGGGGTTCACTATGTTTCACTCCTCGGTGTTGCCTTCTTTCCCAGCGAAATCGCTTCATGTTTGGATTTGGATCTCGGAAGGTGAAAGACCTGGTGAAAGAGAAGAGACGACTGATTCATCAAACATGTCCCAAAAGCTATACCTAGAAGATCCTTTCGGCAGAAATTCTTGCCTTTTTCGGGAAGAGCGGCTCTCCCCGTCCTGGGGCGGAAACCAACTTTTTGCCGCGGAAATGTTTTTGTTGCCGCAAATTTTCCCTTTCAGGAATCTAGTGAGAGACTACATATATTCTATATAGAACAGTTGAATCTTTTTGGTGGTTTGCATGTGCATTGGGCATTTCTGCCTGGAATGGTCACCTCAATGATACAAAAAGATGGCGGCGCCTAAGTTTCCACCTCCACCTGCAAATCTGGCTACCATGTCTTTGTTCTTGAAGGTTTCTTGTGCGGAATGAGCACACGAGCAGTAAAACCAGTCCAAAGTTGAAAACACCTGGCGCGAAAATGCCCGGGAAAGAGGCGGAAATACCCGGGAAAGAGGCGGAAATACCCGGGAAAACGGCGGAAATACCCGGGAAAACGGCGGAAATTTCCTGGCAGAAGGCGGGATTCAAGAACAGTGCCCTTGAAGGGCTTGAACATATATCGCAGCCTCTTTGTGAATGTCATGAATTTAGAAGTAGGATGTCAGATCTTGAGATGTGAAACTATGGCCTTGCAGAACGATATGTGGTCTGCAATCATGGAAGAGACAACCTGGTCGGTGTTAGGCAGTGGTGATGGTTTTTGAATTGCTATGTCGGATTTTACTCGAGGCAAAAATTCCCCGCTGGCCGCGGAAATTCCTACCTGGCGCGGATTTACCTTAAATCCGCGAATCCTCCCGGGCAAATCGGGCTGAGGCAGAAATTTTTGCCCCAGGTGCATTTAGGTATAATATAGTAGAAATCATTACAAGTATGTTTCCTTTGGAATCCGATTACCCATATCTTTGATTCCTGCTCTTCTCGAATTTAGAGGCACCTCTCTTGAATCACTCAGGGGCAGACCTTCCAACGCCAAGAGCGACCCAGGGTCGATCCCTCGGTCTGACTGTCCCCACCGACCCGGCCCGGACTCCACCGGACTCCAGCGACGGAGGCATGCAATTCTTCTCGGTCCTGGACGCTGACGGCGCGCTGGCGCGCGAGCGGGACCCCCACCTGACGGGCAATCCCGACTCGGCGCCTCGGCGACAGACGCCGACGGGAGCGGCTTCGCAACACCGTGCGAGCAGAAGCAGAGCACCAGCACAAGCCTCAAGATTGAAGAAGGAACAGCTTGGTTCTCAACTGCTTGGGGCAGTTTTACCTTGAGGAGAAGTCTTCGCAACAGCATCATCTTAAGAGTCATTGTTGTGTTTTGCAATTCTCTTACCCAGACACTGCATGCAAAAAGCATACATGACCATACAATTCCAAGTGGCCTTCAAAGGGGTCCATGTAATTCAATGTTGGCACCGCCCCGCCGGAACGGGTCGTATTTGGGGTCCCAGGATTCATTGATGATCAACCGACCGATGACGGCCATCTTCGGATGACGGTGGAAACGGTCATCTCCCCGGAACGGATTGGGGAACGAACTGGCTCGAACGGGCAGAAGGCTCTGGCTTCCCAGTGATCCCAGAAGATCCAACCCACAGACGACCTTTTCCACCACTGAAGTCTGAAGCGGATCTGACCACTTCGTTGGGATCTTCCATCCCGATCCGACATGCTCCAGGTGAAATATACCAGGGCCACCTTTAAACATGGGGTGTCAAACCCAGACACGACTAATGGGACTGGCATATTTACCGATCAGTTGGGGTGGTGCCAGAGAGGTCTTTCTGGGGACGGCCGTCAAATGACAGACATCGGTCGTGTCTGCCCAGACGCTCCAAACAGCCCGACCGGTCCCTCAAAACCTAGGGATTGGTTCGACCCCAGACCCCTGACCAGTTCGGATTCGGGTCCGACCCCTCCATAGGTTTGGGCCCAGGGTCGCGTCTGGGTGGGTAATATCCGTGATTCGGATGTCCATCCCTTTCGAATCCGAGTCCGGGCTCTCCATGGGTCGTGGGGTCGGTCCGGACCCTCCACCGAGTTACGCGTTCGGGGTCCGGACCCGAACCAGGGCCCCTATCCCAGACACGACCCATGGAACTGCCATATATGCCGATCAGGCCAGGGGTGGTTTTGGGGGTCAATGGGGCGGCATATATGGCAGTCCCATGGAGTGTTTGAGTATGTGTTGGTGAAGGAGCCCGGATTCTTAGGGTCAGGTCTCTGCCGCCCGATTTATGCGACGTTCTCCGGGTCCCCATCCATCCGGGTTGAGGGTGATTCGGGGTGTCCAAAAAGCCCCTGCAGAACTGGAAGGGTCCAAGTAATATCGAGTAAGTACTATAAGGGATCCAAGAAGATCCAAGTATACCTTCTCAGGTACGCTGATGTGTTCGACACTGTTATTATGTAATTAGGTGCCAAGATGGTCCAGTTGTACCGAACCTGAGGTTCGGTACGACCCTTGGGCAAGTAGGGGTAGGATCCGTCTCCCCATCTCCCAACCATCCCAACGGAGGTTTAAAGCGACCTGAACCTACTACTGGGGATTACTGGGGTGTCGGATAGTCGAACTATAGGGTCTTCAAACCTCCCAAGCATCCCCATGTCATCATCATCTACTACAACCGGGTGCGTCTCAACATGTCTCAATCCTGGGAGAGATCGCTGTCTCCCAACCTCACTCTCTCCCTCCCCAACCTCGCCCCCATCTCCCCCATCGCTCCCTCTTCCGCTGTCTCAAACCCTCGAGGATTGGGAGAGATCGCTGTCTCCCGTCACCCTCACTCTCCCCCATTCTTCCCAACCTCGCTCCCATCTCCCCCATCTCCGCTGTCTCAAACACCTCTCCACTCCCAACCTCCCCAAACACTCCATGTATGCCATATATGCCTACATTGGGGTGGTTTTGGGGGTCAATGTAGGCATATATGGCATATACATGGAGTGTTCTCCCCATCTCCCCCATCTCGCACCTCTCCGCTGTCACCTCTCAGCCACCTCCTAGGATTCGGACTCCGAGGGCGAGGTGGAGATCCGTGCGGAAGATCACGTCTTCGTGGCCGCCAGCTGCGAGGAGGACCGGAGACAAACAGCCCCGCGGTCGTGGCGTTTGTTGTATTCTGCGTGAGACGACGTACGTCGCACCGGAAAAACGGGGGTGGGACCGTTTTGGGTCCCAAAACAGCTCGAACCTTGGAAGGTCCAATACTTGGCAATATAATTCGAACCGGCCATGGAATAGGGTCATGTTTGGAATGGGCCATGGTTCTTCATGCTTGGCTCTGAGTATCGTCTGGTCCTTTGGTCCGTGGTGCTCCTCTGTCGCGCTGACCGGACGGACGGATCGGTGATCCAACGACGTCTTGGGTCCAATTCGCCTTGCCACCCAGACGCGAAGGCGGGAGACCCGGCCTCCCGAACCTATCTGCAGGGGTCGGACCCAGGGTCATCCGAACTGGGTCAGAAGTCGAACAGGGAAACCTCACCCATCCCGGTGGTTTTGAGAGACCAGGAGTCGGGCTGTGGAACGGAGCATGTGGGCAAGAGGTGAGGCCTTTCTTGGTTTGTCCCAAAAACCACACCTCTTGGGTTTTGAGGTGTCGACATGTCCGGAAAGAAAGGCGTCTTGGTACGTCAACCCAATATACGTACGTCCGGTTCGACTCAGGTCAGAACCTGGTCGAAAACGGACCTACGTACACGACGAGTAGTACGTGTTTTTGGCCAAAACTAGTATTTCATGAGTCGATCTGTATAGAGAAGGAGGTGATATTTTCGGGGTGACCCAAAACCACACCTCCTTCGAAGCTCCTGTTTACTTAGTGGCAGCAGGTATGAATAATACGTGCATGGTATATGTCGTGGTTTCAGTATGACGTCCGTGCCCCTTGCGGGGCCCCGAGCGCATCATGAACCCTTCTGCTCGTCTGCTCGGAGTCTACGTGCCCCTGAAGTCGGGCCTGGACGTGCGAGGCCTGGGGGACTGGGGTATAGTGCATGTTCCTCACTTTCCATCACTGAACTGAGGGTAGTCTATTGCTATCAGTCGTACCTTCACCGACCTGGTTCGGCACGATTGGACCCTCCAGACCTACTGGCAGCGGTGTCGAAGACATCACCTGCTGAGAAGGTACGACTGGTTCCCTATATAGGGTATAGTCTAAGACTATCTATGATTATCTGACTCATGTTCACGATTGTTCACGCATCTTCTTGCATCTCTCGTGTTCAGTAGTAGTATAGTATGTGCATATATTACCCAGACACTCCATATATGCCATATATATGCCGATCAGTTGGGGTGGTGCCAGGGGGGTCTTTCTGGGGCGGCAGAACTATGGCAGTCCCAGACGGGTCGTGTGGGATAGGTACCTGGTGCGAACCGCCTTCTCCGTTCGGTTTTGGTCGGCGCGGACCTCTCAGACTCGTCGTGGACCTCTCAGACCACGTCCAACTGGGGCGGACCTTTCAGACCTCAACACCTCCCGCCGCGCCGCGCCCGCGCGGAGGATTGCTGCACCTTGGAACTGTATGTCTTCGAAGAAGAAGAGGCCACGACTCGGAAAGCCGGAGGGCTCGGAGGGAGGCCGAGGCCTACCGAACCGTGTCGTCGAGCGAACCGGGTCGCGAGGCGGTGGGACCGGGGGGCCCGGGTGCAGGGTCCAGGTATCACCGAACCTGAGCCTTAGAAGTCGAACCACCATTGTTGTAATAGCCTGAATCCCGAACCACCATTCTTTTACCAAGAAGTTTACACTACAAGTCGCCAGAATCGTTCCCAGGGTGAGGAGCTCACCTCCTGGAGGTGGCAGGGCTCCGTCTTGGTGCTCGCTCCGCGTGCTCGTTGGGTACGGGACATCCAGTCCAAATGGACCTTCCCAACTCGGGCTGTTCGGTGGGGTAGTCGGAAGTGGACCACTGTTCAGCGCTGGTGGATCTTCAGCAGAGTTCTGACGTGGATCCGGAACGCCCCCCTGTTCGGAACGTGCGGATCTGGATTGAGGTGCGGAACCCACTGGTGTGGATCGTCATGCTGGTCGTAAAAGCTCATATACCATGTATACGGCCACACAATAAACGTTTTGGACGTGATTGTATCGCACAAACTTGTGTGGTTTTACATGGCTTGTATCATGCTTGTGTTTTGCGATACATGATTCTATTGCACAAACCCGAAACTCCAAAACTCAACCTCGAAATATGGTACGAGAACTCCCTCTATGATCCTCATATGGAAGTTTCCAGCTGCACTGCATGTTCCCGCAGCTTCTATACCAGGAATCGGCTTCACGGCACATCGGTTGAACCGAAGAAACAGAGGCTCCAAACCGTCCTGCAGTCCTGACACATCACTGGGAATTCCAGAAATTCCAGTGGTCTGGTCTGAGCACAAATTCTCACAGCACTACGATCTAAATCATAGACCATGTGTGACTGGTGTCGACGATTTTGTGCTATGTTTGCATTGCTTGTCAAAATCGCCTGTCCAGCAAAGCCAAACATGTGTTCACGATCATAGAGTGCTCTTGAACGCGAGCGTGTATACTAGTTTCGGAGTCATGGCGAAGAGATTTTCAACTGTGCAGCCAAATGGCGAAATCCTAGTTCTTGAAGTCACCCCGGAGACAACAGGCCGCTTGCTCAAGCAGCAGATCAAAGAGGGACAGCACTGGGACGAGCTCACTCGCCGCACTACAAGTGTGGAGATCATTGTCGGAGACAGCCAATTGCTGGCCAATGATGCAAAGGTATTGGATGCTGGAATTTCTGAAGATACTAATGTGAGTGTTGTCTTCAAGCCAAACAAAGTGATATGCTCCAACAACGATGTGATCGCCAGCCTTGGCGACAACGCCTTTGACCCGGACCTGCTGCTTGTGGTCGAAATACCAGATGATCAAACCCAGGTTTGTGAAGGTGCTTTTGGCGGTTCCGACACTTTGGCCACAGTGATTATTCCGGACTCGGTGACCCACATTGGCGACGGTGCCTTTCTTGCTTGCAGCTCCTTGGCAACCTTGACCATCCCAAACTCAGTGACCCACATTGGGAATGATGCCTTTTGGGGGTGCAGCTCTTTGGTGAGCTTGACCATCCCAGACTCTGCGACGCACATAGGGGATGCGGCCTTTGAGCATTGTTGCTCTTTGGTTGAGTTGACCATCCCGAACTCAGTGATCCACATTGGAGCTGCTGCCTGTGTAGGTTGCACCTCTTTGGCAAACCTCACCATTCTGGACTCTGTGACCTACATAGGGGAGAATGCCTTTTCCGGCTGCAGTTCTTTGGCAGATCTGATAATTCCGAGCTCGGTGACCCAGATTGAGGATGCTGCCTTTGTTGATTGCATCTCTTTGGTTGACTTGATCATTCCGAACTCGGTGACCCACATTGGCAATCGTGCCTTTTTGCGTTGCAGCTCCTTGGCAAACTTGACCATCCCTAACTCGGTGATGCACATCGGGCGAAAGGCCTTTCAGGGTTGCAGTTCCCTGGCAACATTGACCATCCCGAACTCTGTGATCCACATTGGGGATGGTGCCTTTGAGAATTGCATTGCTTTGGTGAGCTTGACCATCCCAGACTCAGTGACCCACATGGGGATGAGGGGTTTTCAAGGTTGCAGCTCATTGGCAGACTTGACAATCCCGGATTCAGTGACCTTCATTGGAATAAGTGTTTTTCAAGGTTGCAGTTCCGTGACAAGCGTGATTATCCCGAGCTCAGTGACCCACATTGGGAATAACGCGTTTCAGGATTGCAGCTCTTTGCGGAACTTGACCATCTCAAACTCTGTGACCCACATTGGGGATGGTGCCTTTAATGGTTGCACCTCTTTGGCGAGCTTGACGATCCCAGCTTCAGTGACGCGCATTGGAACTGGTGCCTTTGCAGGTTGCAGTGCTTTGGCGAGCTTGAGCATGCCAGATTCAGTGCACATTGGGAATGGTGCCTTTGCGGGTTGCCGCTCTTTGGCAGAGGGGAGCAAGAACCAGTTAACCGGATCAAAGTGACCAAATCTAAAACCCTGCGACGTGACACATCTTAGGGCGTCGAATCTGGTCTTGCCGCCGACGGTTGAAGAGACATCTCTCTACTGCCGCCTCACGAAGCTTGACAGAACATGTTTGAACCATCCGGATCTCCAGATCTTCTACCTTTGAACGGTTCTGAGGAAAAAAGAAGAGATTTCAGGGATGAAGGATGATTAAGGTCTAGTCATTTGCGCAGCACTTCTGGTGTGAACTACCCATGAAGAATATCAATGGTTAGTTCTTTGCTTTGTATGTTCTGTTTTTTCATTGGTGATCATGTATGTTGGAATATGTTTTGTCACCATGACAAATTTCACCTGCATATATGGAGTATATCTTAGGAATCCAAGGCTTGAGAGGTCGATCAACACGTCAGATGCTGAGTCAGATGTCCTGGTCGTCCAACCCCCCACGTCTTTCCCGGTCGCTGGCTCCACCGGTCCGGTCCTGTTGGTTGCTCCGAACGCTCAGCGAAGCAGCTTCTTCCGGGAAGCCGATCACCGTCCGCAGTGTTGAGGATCCCAGCGCCATCGGAAAAGTGACCGACTTGGGGTCACCAGCTCCATGTGATCCAAAACCTCGGCTCAATCTGTGTTGGATGGGACCTTGCGGCGAAAGAGTAGGGTGTCCGACGGTTGGATGTCCCTAGGATGTCGCCCTATAAATAGGGCTTCCATTTTTGGGGTTATTTTGTTGTTTGTTCGTCTATTGCGTCGGTCGCATGGTGGAGAGTTGTCCTTTGTTTGCTTCTTTGCGAAGCTTCCACTATCTCCTGCTTCGGCGTGAGAGGTAGTCCATCCAGGTCTTTGTTGGTAAAAACTGGGGGTGCAAATTCAATTCGATATTGTCATATGAATCCCAGCTACCACTTCCATTATACAAGGAACCAGCAGGTTCTATACATCTATTCTTCACTGGTGACCAGCGACATCCGCGACATCTGGATGCCGTGGGATACCTTGGAAGTCCATGACTGTGACTCATGTTGACGCTTTTGACCCTCTTACCAGAGGGGTTGAACAGCCGTGTTTATAGCCCATCCCATATGAACCACAGACCAGGGTCCGATCGTTCAGGTCTCTCAACCTCTCTTGGTACAAGTGGTGGGTGATTACCACCATGCGGGGCAAATTGAGTCGCTGCCATATTATCATATACCTATAGACCATCCTGAGGTTCATACAGGATGGTGCTGGTATACATTCTGTAGCTGTCATGTGCAGATTTCAATTTGGACCCACTTTGCACACCAAGATACACAAGCTTTTTGGCAGCTTTGACATGATTGCGTCGCACCAACTCAACACCCCAACCCCCGAAACCATATGGTGGGAGAATGCCTTCATCATCGTCGTCGTCATCGTCATCGTCTATTTTTGGCAAAACCGTAAAACATACCATGTAACACCCAAAAGCTTTGCAAGACATGGATCCTCATGGAAGTTTCTGCCAACAGAGGTTGAATGACCCTATAGACTATCCCATAGGTACCCCAGGTGACGGGTCCTAGTTCAGGTCACTTAACCTCTGTTGGTGGGTTTGGACGACTCAACACCTGTGTTCCTCATGGACGCTTGAGGGAGTACTATATATATGGAGTCGGAAGGTAGCATCGTTGTTCGTACCTCACCGAGCGCAGCGAGCGCAGAGGCTCCAAACCGTCCTGCTGATGAAACATCACTGGGAATTCCAGAAATTCCAGTGGTCTGTAGAGCACAATTTCTCACAGCACTCCGATCTAAATCATAGACCATGTGTGACTGGTGTCGACGATTTTGTGCTATGTTTGCGTTGCTGCTTGTCAAAATCGCCTGTCCAGCAAAGCCAAACATGTGTTCGCGAACGATCATAGAGTGCTCTTGAACGCTAGCGACCCCCTAATCCAAAATCATCCAATCTGTACTCTAGTTTCGGAGTCATGGCGAAGAGATTTTCAGCTGTGCAGCCAAATGGCGAAATCGTAGTTCTTGAAGTCACGCCGGAGACAACAGGCCGCTTGCTCAAGCAGCAGATCAAAGATGGACAGCACTGGGACGAGCTCACTCGCTGCACTACAAGTGTGGAGATCATTGTCGGAGACAGCCAATTGCTGGCCAATGATGCAAAGGTATTGGATGCTGGAATTGCTGAAGATAGTGCTCTGACAGTCGTCTTCAAACAGAACAAAGTAATATGTTCCGACCAACATGCGATCGCCAGTCTTGGTGACATTGTCGACTCGGAACTGTTGCTTGTTGTTGAGATTCCACACGATGAAACAGAGATTTGTGAATACGCTTTTGACTCATACGACACTTTGGCCAAAGTGATGATTCCGAACTCTGTGACTCACATCGGCAAAGGTGCCTTTCTTGGTTGCAGCTCCTTGGCAGCCTTGACCATCCCAGACTCCGTGACCCACATTGGGGATGCTGCGTTTGCGGATTGCAGTGCCTTAGCGAGCTTGATCATCCCAGACTCAATGACGCACATTGGGGTTGGTGCCTTTGCAAATTGCTGCTCTTTGTCAAACTTGT